TTGCACGAGGAGGTGTATATGGTTCCTCCTCCGGGCTTTCGTTCTCCTACTCATTCTTGTATGGCCTCAAGCAGTCTCCTCGAGCTTGGTCTGATTGCTTTGGCACTACCATGCTCAAGTTTGGTTTCCATATCACACCTTGTTCTTACATCATTTAGGCGGTACGACAGTTGCTTTCATTGTGTATATTGATGATATTGTTCTTACCGGAGATGATGCTGCCGAAATTACTGAGGTTAAGAGCTATCTTGGCCGTTAGTTTAAGATTAAGGATTTTGGTCCCCTTCGGTACTTCTTGGGCATTGAGGTGGCTCGCTCCAAGGCTTGTATTTTCATCTCTCAACGCAAGTATGTTCTTGACTTGCTTTATGCTTCTGGTAAGCTTAGCGCTCATTTTGCTGATACTCCGATTGAGTAGAATCATCGGTTGGCTGATTCTACGGGGAGTCGTTGTTAAATATTGATCATTATCAATGACTTGTTGGGAAGCTCATCTATTTATCCATGACTCGACCTGACATTGTTTATGACGTGAGTGTCGTGAGCCAATTCATGCACTCTCCTCATACCCCTCACCTTGATGCAGCTATTCGGATACTTCGCTGCTTAAAAGGGTGTCCGGGCCGTGGTATTTTGTTTGCCAATCATGGTTACTTACGTGTGGAGGCTTGGACAGATGTTGATTATGCAGGATTAGCTTCAGATAGGGGGTCAACTTCGGGCTATTATACCACTATCAGTGGCAACTTGGTTACTTGGAGCAGTAAGAAGCAAGATGTTGTCTCTCGATCCAGTGCAGAGGCGGAGTATAAGGCTATGGCTCTTGGGATATGTGAGTTGCTATGGTTGAAAACCTTGATGACAGACTTGTGCCTTCTAGTGTCGCTTTCATTCTCACTTTACTGCGACAAGTCTGCCATTAGCATAGCAACAAATCTTGTTCAACATAACAGGACTAAGCATATAGAGGTAGACCATCACTTCATTCGAGAAAAGATCATCTTTGGTCAAATTTGCACTCCATTTGTCACAAGCTCTCAGTAACTTGCAGACATTTTTACAAAAGGCAAGATTATGTTTGAGAATGCATTGTCCAAGTTGGGCGTTTCAGATATCCACGCACCAACTTAAAGGGGAGTGTTAGCAGATATGATAGCCACGATTTATGGAATGATTTACCGTATTAGTAGAGATTTGATTATGCTATAGAATATGCCATATGCTATAGAATATGCTGTGATTTGATTTAGATTTTATTTTCTTTTTTTTCTTGTAATATGAGCATGTGCTCTTTTTTATCTATAAATACTAGAGCTGTGAATGAGTGATTCATCTCATTCAAGCCTTTACACAATTCTCTCCTTTTTCTTCTTTTTATATTTCTTCTAGAGCAATATCACTTCAGAGCCAAAAGTTTTCAAATTCAAATATGTGAAGTGAACTAGATGTTGCTTGTTTGTACAAGTCGTCTAAACTATGTTACGTGGCTAGGCAATGGTAAAATGTCTAAGTATTAGGTACAAGCCACAAAACGTCTCCAGGTTTTCTATAAGACATCTTCCCCTTCTGCAGTTGGTAAACAACTGAGAGCTCATAAATCTCAGGTTAGGTCAACAAGACATCTTCATGGAAATGGAACAAGATTGAGCTGACTCCTCCTAGATAGTAGCCCTATTTCCAAACAATCTCGCAAGTACTCTAATGGCTAGATTCTCAGCTCAGATTATAAATACAAGGTTCCCTCACTCATTTGGAGATATGTGTATATATATATATATATTGAAAAAGCATAGTGCAGAATTTTGAAAAAACTCCAATGAAAATCAAAGAGGTCTTTGATTCTATTCTCTAGAAGTTGTGCTTTCATCACTTGCTTGATCTATTACTCTAGAGAAAGAGAGCTTCAATGTATGTATATCAGTGTATTGTTAGTGTATCTAGTGAACTTTCATTGATTCATGTTAACAACCCATCTACTCTAAAAGCTTAAGCTATTAGAGAGGGTGTAACTTAAGTATATAAATCCTTCAACACGCCCCCCCACGTGTGGCCTTCGTTTGGTCCAACACGTGTTTTTTCAATTTTTAATTAGGGTGACAGAAGGTTTGAACTCGAGACCTTTGGCACTGATACCATGTTAACAACCTATGTACTCTAAAAGCTTAAGCTACTAGAGAGGGTGTAACTTAAGTATATAAATCCTTCAACAATTCAGATTGTTCAAATCACTTGTAGATCTATTACACCTTTCTTTTTCACACCATAGTACTTAGCGAAGCACCATATATGATATACCAATACTGCAAATTGTAAAAACAATTTGAAATGGGTTAAGCATTAAAGCATTGCTGGTTATAGATCCTACACTATTATTTTGTTCTATACCCATTTGTAGTTACTTATTGATACAGTGAAATTTTAGATTATTACTGAAAAAAATAAAAGAAAAGAAAAGAAAGAATAATTAGGTTCAATGAAGAGACCTGTCAATTTCCGGTTGGGAAAAGGTAGTTGACTTTATATGGCAGAAAGCCTAGTGTAATGGAATGTCGAGTGGGAGGAATGCCCACCTCCTCTGGAAGGACACTTTAGCGTCCTTGTGAGACTCATAGGATTTGCAATGATCCAGGGATGAAACACTCAAAATGCATAGCCCGGTTTGTGATACATGATCTCTCGTTTCTTGATTACTTTTCTATGCCAAAACCCAAAGTTTTGTGATTGTTTGGCTTACTTATTGTCTCATGAAAATTTGTTGGCATCATGATAAACTTGGAACTATGATTGGTATGGATTTTTGACTTTCTAAACTGATTGTTTCTTTTTATTGCAGCTTGAAAAAAAATAAAAAAATATATATATATATATAGTGTCATGATTTTATATATCTTGTATATAGAATGGTGGAAATCATTCTACTGGGCTGTCATTAGCCGCCTCGCTTTATCACAATTAGCTCTAGGCCATGTTTGGTGTGAGTGAATGGAATCAAATAAGAAGGAATGGGATGGTTTTTTTTACATTCTTGGGTTTGGTGTGGGCTATTAAAGGTGGAATCATCATTCTCCACCATTCTCGGAGAATGGTCATTCCACCAAAATCACTCCTCTTTACTAATGGAATGGGCATTCCATTCCCACATGGAATAGGATAAAAATATTTTGACCAAAAAACCATCTCTATTCTCTTCCAACCCATCGACATCGGATTTCCTTCCATAGCCTAGAACCACGGCGACAACAAAGAATGGAAAGAATTCTTTGACAGTGGATGGATGAACCTCCTTTTTTGGCTTTGCTTTTGGAAAGCCCTCCTCTTTTTTTTTTCTCAAATCCAACGCCTTTTCTGACTTCATCCAGCAAGCAGAAAGGGGGAATCGAACTGAGAAAAGCAAGTCGACGAAAACAGATCAACGATAACATCAGATCCTTAATCCTTAAATGGTCTTGACCAGCCCAGCCGCTTCCCAGCATCAATCAAGTCTGTTTATTCCTTGTTTGAGAACACTGGATCACAACCCAACCCAGCCGCCACCGCCGCCGGAGACGCCTCCGTCTTCCTCTTTCACTACCCCTTATCTCACCACAGCTGCCGGAGACGCCTCCCCTTTGCTTCATGGCGTCTTCTTGCCTTTTTGCCCTAATCTTCAACAAATTGCTTGCCCCAATTTCATTTCGTTAATTTTTTTGTTAAATTTATTTATTTATTTATTTTTTAAGTTGATTTCTTTATTCATGATAAAAGGGTAATTTGGAGAATCATCATTTCATTTTTACACATTCCATGTTTGCAACCAAACACTAGAATGGAATGGTTCCATTCTCATTCCCATTCCATTCTCAGCTTCATTCCATTCCCACTCTATTTCATTCTTGCACACCAAACTAGCCCCTAATCTCTCTGTTGAGAAAGTAAATGCCCACTCTTTTAATCCATTTACAGATTATGGCGTTGAAGGAAACCAAAGAAAGGAAAACTGTTCGTTGGTGCAAGGGTTACAAGATAATGGCTTTGGGACTTGCATTTCAAATATCTATTGCGTTATTGCTATTAATCGAGTCGTGACGCTAGACTATTTCAAGTGAATTTACAAATAGCTTAACCTCTATACATGTCGGACTATTGTAATTTTTCTTTAAATATTTGGAATTTGTGGAGTTTTCTTTTAACATGACAATTAATAGTTGAATTATTTCTAATTTTGTGACATTAACACTTGTACTACCATTACACTCAATGCTTTGGAGTTTGATCTTGAGATTAGCACCACAATGGACTTCCATCACACCATAACTTCAACAACAAAAGGCAACAATGCCATAGCCACCACACAACCACCATTTGTTATTACACAACTTATCGTCCTACACTAGTCCACCCTTCACCAACACCAGCAGCGCAGAGACCACTGCCATTGCACCACCAGCACTACTTCCTCAAGGATGACCACCATCAAATCTTCACCACCACTGAAAAGTATGCCACTGTATTAAGACACTTGCTACTAAAACAACTGCCTCAACCATCATTGGCATCACATAAAAAACATATTCACTTGATTGAGTATAATGGTGCTGGGAGAAACCATGACGAAAAGAACTCCATATCTTATGCCTAACCCTAACCTCTCCAACTGTGAATTGCACACCAATTTTATGAAAGTTAAACATATATTCTTGACATCAATTTCTTTTATTAATAATATAATAAAAATTCATGCAGTGGCAGAAATAACACGTAATTGGTAGTAATAGCAATCTATTGTTTCCTATTAGAAACTTTTGACATTTACTAGTTATTAAAAGAAAATTATAGTAGAACTATATAGTTACTATGTTCACCGCATATGGGTAATAGGACAGTTAACACATGATCAATATATTTGAGGCTATTTAAATACTACGAGATAATTATTATTCTCTAAGAACTACATTATACAGTCATGCTTTGAAAGGTAAGGAGTAAACATAATCATCTTTAAGAACTAATTTTATGCATACCAGCATGACCAAAGGCATCGTGTATCTCCCGATTCAGAAAAAGGACAATATCTGCGAGCTTCTCCATCACCTGTATTACATGACACAAATTGCCATTCTAAAATCTTTAACTTCAACTCATACAATTTTCAGAGAATGGACTGTTGGAACAAAATCAGTGTTATCTCCTCATAGTCAATGAAATTGTGAAATATACCACTACTAACAATAGCAGAATCTAGACCTCTATTTATTTGGAAAAAATTGGTGAGACATAGCAAATAAGGATATTGTCATAGCAAAAAGGGCATATATATATATATATATCTAGATTTATATAAACTAGAGATAATAGGACATCGTAGAATTATTAGTATATGTACTATATGTAAGAGGACATCATTAAGTTATAGAAAACACATTCAATAGGGAACATCCCAGCACTATAAAAAAGAGCCAACAGTTACCTCTTCCATACTCCTGGACCAGAGTGACTTCTTCTTTAAACTTGTTACTTGCTTCCTTTGGCCTGTTAGTTCTGCTCTCAAGACTGAAAGGCCATCACCTATAAATGAAGAAAATATTGCCATACAGAGATTCACCAATACTAATAATAAAATTCAAATTCGGAAAATGTACATCTTCTTCAAAGATGCAAATAGAAGTGTGAACAATTTTATTAAGAGTAACTGCATTAGTAAATCTAAACTTCTGGTCCACAAAATGTACAATCTAGACCCTTATAAATATCCTTTCTTATATTCCATAGAATAGAAGTAGCATATCTCTGTTGCGTGTTATATGCCACCACTCTAGTACACAGTCATCTAACACCGGAGCAGGCCTTCAACTGACATTTGGCATAAATAGTAGGATCATATTATCAAACAGATATTACAACCAACTAAAGTAATCAAAGAAAGACTGTGATAGCAGGAAGTTAGCACTCCAGCTGAATATTCAGAAAGTACTGACTGAAATCGTCAAATGTTTTCATTAGTCAGTGAACAATAATGACTGAAATGCTCATATTTCAGTGTCCCTCTCATGCAATAATCAAATGAAGTTTGAGCTCAATAGAACCAGTTAATGGAGCACAATTATCAGCTCTATCAATGTAATGAACTGTACCCAACTCTATTAGAGTTTAGATTAAATTATAGTATATTAAATTTTATTTTGTCAAGTTGTACCAATTTTATCAAATATTAAACAACTATGGATGTTTAGTGCGGCATCTTGTATACAATGAAATAGCTTTAGATTTGAAAAGCTTCAGATAGTGTCTATTCAAATATGTGTCTATTTAAATATGAAGGCATAAACTAAGTGGGATTATGGAATGGTTAACGTGTTCAATAGGAACAATATCATCTACACTTTATATCAATGACAGTAGTATATCAGTACAGTTTTCTACGTATTAAGACTTTTATTTCTTTTCTACCTAAACCTCTTTCTTCCATCGTGAGAAATGCTCAGACACAATGGCATAGAAATCTAAACCCTGTCTTATTGAAAGCGGGACAAGGCCTACAAATGACTAGAATAAACATGAAAATTTATTTTACATGGGTGTCAATGTGAAGGCTTACAAGTTGATAATGTAAAATATTATTACTTTTTCTTAGACGCTAGCTCTCTCTCTCTCTCTCTCTCTCTCTCCCTCCCTCTCCTCTTTTTCCTACAGTTTTCAGTGTTCTCTCGTTACACACCCCAAACCTTATACGCCCTTATATATTGAGCTACAAGATCATTCTAGAACTGGTCACACAACCCGCAAGAGAAAAACGGGTCAATTTTTCTTTTTCTTTTTCTTTTTTTGCAGACCAGGAGGCCTGGGTGGCCTTGCATTGGTCGCGGAAAGAACTCAGGTGTCCCTTGGGGCCTCGCGTAGGCCGCAAGGCTACTAGCAGTTGTGAAAAGGTAATAGCTCTGATATCAAGAAGAAATATAAGAGAAATATGTAAAGGCTTGAATGAGAATAGTTATTCATTCACAGCTCTGGTATTTATATTCTAAAAGAGCACATGTTCGATTTTACAAGAAAAGAGAATCAAATAAAATCACTGCAGATTCTATGCCTAAATATATGCGTAAATAAAGTCAAATCCTATTATTCTTGGCTAATGTATCTCAGCTAGCAACATCCTTTAACATTTTCCAAGTGAACAAAAAACTATTGATAAGTGTCAGCGAATATGATAGTCATGATTTATGGAATGACTTACCATATTAGCAGAGATTTGATAGCCACAAATCATGAAGTTTGACTTTATTTACGCATATGTTTAGCCATAGAATATGTTGTGCTTTGATTTAATTTCCTTTCTTGTAATATGAGCATGTGCTCTTTTTATCTATAGATACTAGAGCTGTGAATGGGTGATTCAATCTTATTCAAGCCTTCACACAATTCTCTCCTTTTTTCTTCTTTTTATATTTCTTCTGTATTTCTTCTATACGACATCTATGTTCTTGGATTACATTGTTTTGGAATTTCTATTATCCATTTATGTCATTTATTTTGTATGTAGCCATGAAATTTTGCGTTATGTAAAATTGAGCGAAAATTATAATAAGGGCAATGTTACAAGGACTGAGATAAGTGTATCGAGTGCGGATATGTATACAAGCATCAAATAAGTCAAATCCTTGAACAATTGCTATATATTCACATTATTTAATATTTTTATTTTATTTTCTAGAGTAAAATAATGTCTTTACATAAAATAGTGTTCAAATTGGCATCTCACTCATTTTAAAATAATAATATAATAAAATTGAACTATTTAAGACACTTTTGAGGTGCAAGTCTAACCAAAAGTTTCCAGAACATCCTCAACCATATCTGAGTATTATATGTCTGACACTGGTACTTCACCTAATTTTGAAGAGTCCATGAAACTTAGAATAAGGGTGTTGGGAAGTTTTATAGCCCTTGAATCTAAATTGAATTATGTGGGAAGTTATTGCAACAGTCATTTATGTTATGTGATTGGAATTTGGTTATGTCTGTTATTATGGATATTTAAGGCCATGCCTCATTTGTGTGTGCTCTAATGAACAATGCCAGGGGGATTTTGGGGTGTGACCCTTAGGATACTAACTGCACTATTATAGTAGCAGGCTATGTTATATGAACTCGATTATGTGTGTTATCCATGGGATTTTTCTAGGAGTCAAATTTGTACAATCATGAAATCAATTAGAAAAATGTATGGAACGTGCTCTAGATGAATTAAAACCAAACTGAATAAGGAAACTCATAAAGCACATTTCCAGGCAAGTTATATTTGCATAAAATCATTTTGCAGTAGAAGAAAACTCTGGACAAAATTGTACAAGTGAAAATGAATGAGTTGTACCAGTAAAACTTCATGTACAAAATTCAAAAGGCTGGGCACCAAACTTGACTTTTTGGACTTCGTTGAGTGGCTAAACGAACTCAAAATTAGGAAAATGATAAATAAATTTTTTTTTTTTTTTTTTTTTTTTTCTCTCTCTTTTTTTTCTTTTTTCTGGATACATAAAGATCATTAAATTCGTAGTATAAAAGATTTTATGACTCCAAAAAGGCAGAAAACTCAATTTTGGACTGAATTTAACATACTATATAAAGATTGAGTATAAGCAACTTAAAATGCATTCTAAGGTTTTATAGCCCGAATAAAACACATTTCTACAAGTATCCCATGTCCATCAAACCTTATATGTGTGTGAATCTCTCTTAAGTAATCCAGTAAACCAACATGACTTAGAAAACAGGCCAGACTTACCCAAACAAAAACAAAACAGTTCAACGAATTGCAACTCATGTTTTGATCACAGAAATTGCCAACAACTCCAATTCCTAACAAAACAACCAAAATTTTGAAAAAATAAAATAAAAATAATTGGGAGATAAGTCTTCCTAAATTGTGTAAAAGTAAAGAATCAATAACTCTGCAACCATTTCTTTTACACTAAAATAGCATAGATTTACATCTAACACAATTACTTATGTTGCAAAGCATAAAACGAAAGCGAAGAAATAAATGAAACAAGTAGAACACACAGATATTACGTGGTTCAGCCACTAGGGCCTACATCCACGGTACAAAGAGCCCAAAGGGCTACATCACTTTTATAATACTACAATCGTGGAGGCTCCTTTAAATTGGAGAAGAAATTATGAGAATGGAAAGAATTAGAAAATAGGAAACAAGAAGGATTTTTCTCCACTATTCCTCTAGTAACGCCAAATCTTCAATAATAGGAAACAACATCAATTAGTGAAATATTTTCCTCCACTGATTCCTTCATTAAATCTTCAATAACTTACATATTTCTTTTTCACTAATTTAAGGAGTATCCAAGACAAGCCAGAGGCCGGGTTGGTAAAGCATCCTTCAGTAAAGGGTAGCAGCTTTACCATGAGCTGGCCGGACAATAACATGGCAGTGAATACCCATACATGGATAGGAAGTAGTTTATGAATAACATAGCAATCATCAAACAATTGAAAATACAGAGTGGTAGTAGTTTCCAAGGTCCTTTTCCATTATTAATTTTTTTTTTTTTAGGGTTTCATAATATCCATTTCTTTTGGGAATATCTTTCCTGGGTAGTCCAGAACAGTTGCCTCCAGTTATTTTTTCAATTTACATTAGAATCTCCACAATAACACCGTATTATAGTCTTCTTCAGTCATTCAGTTATTAGTCATCTTTGCCATTTCAAATAAATAAAAAGAACAACAACAACAACATTACACAATTGTAAACATTCAAAAAGACGCCATGTTCTGATGTTATTTCCAAGAACATAACAAAGGGTATGGAGGGTTACCTCTTTGCACAGCATTTGAAATACCAACTTCCAGACGCTTAACCTGATAATCTTGCTCAAGTCTGTCCAATGCATGCAACTCGTGGTACAACTCCTGTGGACCAAATAAATTTCAAAATTTTCCTTTCTAAAGAATGGAACACCAAAATAACATTTACTATAATGCAAAGATGAAGTTTTATACCCTTAAACCTGTAGAAATCTCCTCCATCCCTTTCTTAATACTATCTCGATTTTGGATTACGAATACACAAGTCACTTGTAGGAAAAGAGAATGATACAATACACATGCATGTTGATGATGTCAACTACAGACATGAAACTGGTAAATAGTTTGAAATTTTGCTCACTAAATAAACTTAGTTTAAAGCAAAGATATGCAAAATTATTCAAGTTGGCCGACACTAGTGGTTGGGATTAAGGTTTTGAGCATTCAAGTTTAGTATAATAAGAACTGCATTACAACAATTCATTTGTATGTGTCTGCACATGCATGCATGTGTGTGTAGTGTGTACAAACCACTGTCACAAAATCTATTCCATTACAGACAGAACAGACTGGAATATTCCATTCTAGTAAAAGAATAAAGGGAGCAGAATAAGTTATCTTTCGTTTCACCAAATTTTTCAGTCTGCACCAAGTTGTTGCACCTATTTTGTCCTATTTTTGGGCATTATAGAAAAATATGTAATACTGGATGTATGCTACATAAAACTACTTGGCTTGCACACTCGCAAACACTTAGGCGCTTGACGGGAACAAATGACACTTCACCCTTTTACATAAGCTTACCACCTCCTTTATAGAAAAATCTAGAATATACATTATACTACATTTTATACAGCACTTAAAACTCCATAAGAATCTAAAACATCGTACTCCCACACTGCGCTACCTGACCCTACTACGTTATAAAGAACTCCACGCAACCTTATACAATTCTATGCAATATAGATGACTATAAAACTAACACACTCAATTATGCTATACAAGCAAATTGCGTCTTTGCAAGCTCTCAATTTTCAACATGCCTTAACCTTCTTCTCTGATTTAGTCACACAGTTTGATATAAACCATGAACGAGGCCATTCATTCATCCAAGTTTTTGATGTTTTCTTTCACTCTTATCCTTGGAGTTTGCAATTGTTAAAATTGAATAGAGAGACAAAGTATGAAAAACACAAGGCAAGAATATACATGGTTCAGCCACTAGGGCTTACGTCCACGGCACACAAAGCCCAAAGGGCTACATATCTTTTATTATAATAATATCTCTTTTCATGCTCAATACAATGGTGAAGACTCCTTTATATAGGAGAAGAAATAATGAGAATGGAAAGAGATAGATATAGGAAACAATATCAATACTGAAATATTTTTCTCCACAAATCCCTCCAGTATCTTCAATAAAAGGAAACATCACCATTGATTCCTTCAATAACAAATATAACAGTAAATCTTCAACAATAGGAAAGAGCATCAATACTGGAAGATTTTCCTCCATTGATTCCTCTAGTAAATCTTCAACACTCCCCCTCAAGTTGGAGCATGAATGACATGAATGTCCAACTTGCCATTGAGATAACGAGTAGCAGCAAGTGCAAATGATGAAGAGGTGTAACAAGATGACCTCAATAAAAATGGATCCAAAGATCCCAAGACGAGTAGCAGCAGCCTCAATTGATGAAGAGGTGTAAGAAGACAACCTCATTAAAAAATGAATCCACGGATCCAAAACGAGTAGCAATAAAAATGGATCTAGAGATCCGAGAAGAGAACCAAGAATGGCTCTAATGAAAAAACAGAAATGAACAAAGAATGTTACCTTCTCTGATACCATGTTAAAATTTGGATACGGAAATAAGAAATGCAAATAGGAAAAAGGGAAGAGAGAAATATGGAAAAACAGGCATATGCATGGTCCGGCACTAAAGCCTACATCCATGGACAAAAAGCCACTAAGGGCTACATTTTTATTATTCAAATCTATTTATTGCTTGAGTACAAAGAGCCTATATATAGGCATGGCAAATATAAGAATATATGGAAGGTGTACAATAGTCAAAAGAGGCATCATGATTGGCGGAGGATTTTGCTCCACCGGTATATAGAAATATTTATAGTTGGATCACCGTGATTGGTGGAGGATTTTGCTTCACGATTATATAGAAATATTTATATATTTCAACACTCCCCTTAAATTGGAGCATGAATATCATGAATTCCCAATTTGCCAAAGAAACGCCTCGAAAGATGATGAGAAGGTGTCCGGAACAAAGCCAGGAAATTGACCAGGTCTTGTTGGGGAAAATGTCTAGAACTACGCCGAGGAAAATGGCTAGAACAACGCGGGGAAAATCCGAAACTAAGCTGGGAAATGGCCGAAACAACGCTGGGAAATGACCGAAACAGCGTTGGGAAATGGGCTAGAACTACATCTGGGAACGCCGAGGTACTGAATCATCCAAAAAAGGGACCAGAACTATGCCGAAAAACCAACTGGAACTTGCCGGGTTCTGGCCGGAACTACGCCGGGAAAGGAATGTGAAGACATGGAGAATATGCACCATGATAATAATACCAATACTCCCTCTCAAATTCTAGATGGGATTACAAGAACATCTAGGCTCTGATACCATGTTAAAATTGAATAGAGAAACAAAATATGAAAAACATAAGGCAAGAATATACGTGGTTCAACCACTAGGGCTTACGTCCACGGCACACAAAGCCCAAAAGGCTTTATTATAATAATCTCTCTTTTCATGCTCAATACAATGGTGAAGACTCCTTCATATAGGAAAAGATATAATGAGAATGGAAAGAGATAGATATAGGAAACAATATCAATACTGAAAGATTTTCCTCCATTGATTCCTCCAGTAAATCCTCAACAACAATTTCATTCCCTTTAGATAGAATCTTCCTTGAACAATAACTTTTGCTTTACGCACGAATCACGGGCCTGGAGTTTCCCCTACTCTAGCCAACCCTGTGAAGCACCAAGCTGCTAATCCTCACATGTCAAGAACTTGGTAACCTAACCCCATGTACCTCATGCCAACGCACACCCACTCGTGCCACCCTACGAGTGTTGTAGCGGCCTTCTCCCTCACTTGCCTTCCATAGTCTCACACACTTGGGCACACAATTGTTGGCAAGAGGAAAGAATGCTCATAATTATTATAGTTCAAGAAAACTTTGTAACTCAAGAGCTACAGTTAAGCATGCCATGTGATACCACGCATTGTCCCCTGCGGCTCTTGTGTGGCCAACCTTCACTTCTAAAACTGATCCCTACTAAATTGAGAAGATTACATAGCAATACATAGACTGTAAGGTTGCTCCATTATGACCTGGAGGCCCCGGGTTCAAAACTAGAGACAGCCTCTCCTAGTGTGGAGCTAAGGCTACGCACATCACACCCTTCCCAGACCCCGCAATTGCTGAAGCCTCATGCACTGGGCTAGCCCAATTTACATAGCAATACATAGACGACTACTACACAATCCAACTAAAATTCACGAATTAAAACTGTTGTAAATAAGAGCAAAAAAATAAAAGAGAAGATCTCTTGTATATCCCTTAGATGTGAGTACATGTGGGTTTATATAGGAACCCAAGACATACAATTAGTACATTAATTTAGCCAATTACCAGAAATTAAGCTAATCAAAATCCTATAATCAAGGTAGCAGATTTTATACATCAGAATATTCATATAATCAAGCTAGCATATTACATGTAGCAGAATAGTCAACTTTCCTAATTAATTACAGGCTGTAAACAGCCTATATTCATGACACTCCCCCTCAAGCTAGAGAGTAGATATCAACAACTCCCAGCTTGCTACAAATAGAGTCGAATGCATTCTTTGGAAGAGCTTTAGTGAAGATCTCAGCTAGTTGATTGCAAGAGGGCACAAAAGGAATCATAATCTCATTTGAAGCCACCTTAGAACGAATGAAATGACAATCCACTTCAATGTGTTTGTCCGTTCATGAAAAACTGGATTGCTAGCAATATGAATGGCGGCCTGGTTATCATAGTAGAGACAAATTGGATCTTGCACTGAGATTCCGAACTCTTGTAGAAGGCTTCTCAACCAAGTTAGCTCGCAAGTTATGTAAGCCATTGCATGGTATTTAGCCTCAGCACTAGATTGAGCAACAACTAATTGCTTCTTACTTCTCCAATTCACAAGATTAACCCCAATAAAAGTACAATAACCCTTAGTTGATCTTCTATCTGAGGCAGAACTTGCCCAGTCTGCATTAGTATACCCTTCAATGCGAAGATGTCCAGAAGATTGGTAATGAAGACTACGGCCTGGAGCACCTTTAATGTACTTTAGAATGTGTACAACTGCATTCATGTGAGAGACCCGTGGGTTGGTTATGAATTGACTCACCACACTAACTGCATATGAAATATCTGGTTAAGTGACAGTCAAGTAAATCAGCTTACCTACTAGTCTTATGTACATCTTGGGATCATCAACTAAGTCACCAACATTAGACATCCATTTTTTGATTAGCCTCCATAGGTGTAGCAACAGGTTTAGCTCCAAGATGACTTGTATCTCTCAAAATATCAAGAACACATTTTTGTTGAGACAAATAAATGCCTTTCTTTGATCTCGCAACTGTTGACTTTAAGATATAATCAAATCAAGAATAAGTGATAAAAAAGAAGAAGAAAAAGAGAAGAAAGCGGATCAGAGAAAGAGAGAGAGAGATGGGGAAAGAGAGAAAGAATGAAAGAATTCTTTCATCCTTCCACCACATTCTATTTATAATAACAAGTTTTAGAAATTACACATAAGCCCCAACATTATATAAGTAATAACAAATAAGCCCGTAACAACAACCCCCCCTTAAGCTGGTGCAAAGATATTTATCATACCTAGCTTGACTAACAAATTTTGTAAGCAAGTCTTGCTCACACCCTTAGTCAAAACATCAGTAACCTGATCATGTGTATTGACAAATAGAGTACAAATCAGCCCAAGACGAAGCTTTTCCTTGATGAAGTGTCCATCGACTTCAATGTGCTTTGTCCTGTCATGTTGAACTGGATTGCGGGCAATGCTA